TCAGTGGCACCGGCTGGTGGGAACCGCGGCGCGAGCGCGGGACGACGGAGGAGGAGGAGCGGCGGTGCTGAGTGATTTGAACCCTGTGCCGTGCACGCGGGTCCCTAGCCAGGGAGAGGCCCCCCGAGCGCGGCGCTCTGCTCCAAATTAAGCCGGCAAAATTTGGGAGGTGATTTGACGGTCGACTGAAGTCCGCCAGATTTTAATGAAGCCGTGCGGTGGAGAAACGCCGTTGTTTTTAGTGTCACGCAAGCACGAGCGCCGCCCGGTGATTACAGTCCCAAGCCCGCTACCAGAAACCCGACGCTCTCGTTCATGAAAACAAAAATCGTGGCTATTAGCAGTTCGGTGGGCCAGGGATTTGAGGGGCGACCCTTTTTGCGTTGCCGTTGGGAGGTTCCTATCGCGTTACCTCATCAGCCACGAACACGACTTGCCCTCCCCGTCTCCTTTCCCCCCCATCCCCATCCTACCCGGCAAAGCCCACCTAGGTATTAACTTATTTTTCAGAAGCGACCTGGCCACAAATGAAAGCTCAGCAAAGTGGCCCATCATTTGGACATTGATAGCAGCAAAGTTTACAGTGGAGCCACGTACGAGGAGTCACCGCACAGGGGCCTCGCTCCACGCTGCCTGGAGGCGCCCCCACCCCCCATCTCCACCCAGACCTCGCTCCATGGAGGGGTTTGACCGTCGCTCAGCACTTGTGGAGTGACGGCTCCTCGAGTGCTGAGCGGCGCTCAATGATTCACCGGCCTAGATGCAAACTCGGGTACAACTCCCAACTGGACGCGCTTCACTGCAGCGCCAGCGCCTGGCCACCGCTGGCGCCGACACTGCGCACCAAGAGCCCCCGGGGCAACCGGCGCCGTGGGTGGGGGAACGGTGCTGTGGGAACGGTGCCAGGGACGGGGGAACGGTGCCGTGGGTGGGGGAACGGTGCCGTGGGAATGGTGCCGGGGGCGGGGGAATGGTGCCGGGGACGGGGGAATGGTGCTGGGGACGGTGGGAGGCAGGCGAGCACGAGTAGGGCCCGACAGTGAGCACTAACAAACGTTGATTTACGACCTTGCAGCAGGCTCCCCCTGCCGCGAATGAAGATGAAGAAACGATTTAGAAACTCCACGAGAGCTCGGCAGTAAACAGCGACACGCGGGCCGAGCGGCCGTCGGGACGCGCAAGGGGCACACGGGCCACGGGGGGTCGCAAGGGTTTGATGGTGGCTCTCAAGCTTGGTCCGACTGAACATCGACGCCCGCGGCCTCCCGATACGGTAACGCCGAGCGTGTGGAGGCCGCGACGGCGACATCCCGGGCCTAAATTTCGATTTAAAGCTTTCGTGACTGCAGGGATTCATCTTCTTGGTTCTTTCGGTAAAGTCACATAGAATGGAAACAAAGTAATAAAAAATAAAACATAATAAAATAAAACAAAATTCTCACGACGTTTCGGCCACAACACAAGTAGCCTTCTTCAGGTGAAGGAACAGAACTGTCGGGACGACAGCGCTTCCATGAACGCTGCTAAGATTCGTAGCGTCTTTTAAGCTAGGTGAGAGAAGTGAAGCGCCTTGACAAAGGAGTTTACATATCAAACAGGAGAATTTAGCATTGAATTAGCTGAGGGACTGGCTTGTAACTGGTCACAGAAATAGCTATGTTAAAGTCAAAGCCTACACATCCACAGAAGCATTTAGTATATGGACGCTAAAGGGCTGCAACTACCCAACTATCATAGAGTAAACCGATGTGAAAAAACTAAGTCTAAATTACATCAATATAATAAATGGACTCAATATATTCTTCAATAAGCTGAGCTATTAACACAAAACAACTGGGTATACACTATACTATATAATGAATACCATATAGTAAACCAATCAAAAACGAAAATATAAACTACCTCAATGTTATCAATATATACTCTCCAATCAGCTGAGCCACCAGACGTCAGTTTATTGGGAAAAACATTGAAAAGAAAATTAGTACAGAGACATGCACACTAACACACGCACGCACTAACACACGCGCACGCTGACACAGGCGCGTGCGCATACACACTCGGCTACAACGACAGAGGTCCCCCATCTAGCCTTAACAGACTGTTGGGGCAAGTGCACCTATGAAGGCCGGCACACCGCACTAGGGGGTGGATGGCCAGCACCGTGCCCCGGCCGCCTTTGTCTCCCTATTAGAAATATTGATGCTGAGTCGACCTAGGGGAGGGCCAGGACCGGTTCAGAAAATCGTCACTGGTTTTGGCCATGAGTGGGAATGTCGCCGGGTTTGTAGCTCAGATACACATATAGAAATTCATTTACGCGGTCACAAACATACAATCACATACCGTCACACACGCAGCCACACACACCCGGAGTCACACCCTATACATACACAGTCACACGTATATGGTCACACACAATTACAACAGTTACATACACACCCATTCACACATGCACACACACACACACACTGTCAAACGCATTGTCGCACACGGTCACTCATGCGCACAGAGGCTCACACGCGCACGATCACGCACACATAAGCACGCACACACACACAAGCACGCTAACACGCGCACACAGGAGGAGCGGCGCGCACACACACGGGGACGGCCGCATGGCACTCTGTGCCAGCAGCAGGGATCACGCTGCGGCGGAGGAGGAACGCCATTTGCGTTCTTGTGGTTCGGGTGATTAAGTGCGGTCCGCATCAGCCGGGTTTCTCCCGCGCCCTGCCAAGGAGCGACGCGCATTCCAAAGTAATAGAGGTTTTTTTTTGTTTTCATCTCAAAATAACCGATCACGTTACCTGAGAGCTGTCGCTCAGAGCCGAGCTCGCCAAAGCCATTTTCCCCCCACCTCCCTCCCCTTTCTGGGCAAATGAAATAAATAAAATGGGACGGCTGCCGCTTTGTCGCGGCAGCACGGGGAGGGAGAAAAAAAGCAAAGCTTCCTCTGAAAATGGAAAATGTTTACACAGATTCGCCAGCGGCCCGAGACCCACGCAGGAATTTGAACGCAACAATCGCTGCGGCTCCGCGAGCCGTGGCGGCCGGGCCCCTCCGCCTCCTCCTCTGCCATGGCCGCGCTCGCCTTTCACTCCACGCCGTTTAAAAGCAGCCGCGCTCCGCGGTGCGGAACGGCGTCCCGCTCGCCGGGGGGGGGCCGCCGCGCGCTGCCGCCCCATCACGGCGTCCCCGCGACTCTTTCCACTCCCCGGTCCACGAGCGAGCGAGCTTGTTTCTCTTTCCGCTACACCGGGAGGCCATTGTCGCGTGAGCATCGGACGCGCGCAAAAGTGAGCGAGCAAGCGGAGTGGCGGAAGAGCGTTGGATGAGGGAGGGTGCGCGGATCCCTCGCCCCCCCCCCCCAGGGTTGAAGGCGGTTGTGGCGGCAGCAGCGCGTCGCTAAAGCGGGTCCTAGCAAGGGGCCCCCAACACCTCCCAGTGCCGCGCAGTAAACGCTTCTTGTTCGTGAAGCAATTGGGGCCTTCTGAAGCGTTACGCGTGCGGCCGCTCGGGTTGCGCAGGCCAAGCACGGCGAGGGGGGGGGGGGCTGACGAGATTGAAAGTGACTCGGCCGCGGCGGTCGGCATATGGGATCACTCTGTGCATCGCCAAACATTTCTGAGCATCTTTCAAACAACAAGCAAAGCGCAAAGCTAAACATCACGTGTGTGTAGCCCGTTGCGATCGCACAAAGGTGACCCACGAGGTCCGGGGCCCCCGGGCCCGCCTGCTCGGTCCGCACTCCGCTGACAACGCGCCGCATGACCTCCCGCACCGCTGCCCGTGCTGACGATGGCCTCTCGCTGCTTTTCTGCGGGCCGCCCCCCCTCCCCCCCTCCCCCACCTGCACCCCCCCACCCCACCGGCCCCCGTACCCGGCTCCGACACACGTGGTCTAAAAGGGCTCCGAGGTCACTTCATTCAAACGGCTTTTGAACGCTCGCAAAGCCCAAGCATGTGGCATTGAGAAACGCTGGGAACACCGGCGAGCGCTGTTCTCATACGGCGTGCGCTTTCTCTGCTAGCGCTGCTCTCCTTCTCTCTCTCTCTCCTGGTCTCTCGCTCTCTCTCGAGGCCTGCTAGGTGCAACACAATACGTGTTTGGGTTTATACAGCGTCTAAATGCTGTACCCGCATGTCAAGACACTGTGCGCAACAAACAGAGGGAGTGTTTATTCTTCATCGACAAAGGCAGACTGGGTCATTGGCGGTGGAGTAGAGGAGGATCTTGAGCTGAAACTTTGAGCAGGGGAAGGGACTCGACAGCATGTGTGGCTGGGGCACAGGGAGTCCCAGACCATGGGGGCAACAGAGCAGAATGAGCAACCTTCCACTGAACAAAGGTCGACTGGAGGCTTTGACAGAAAGTCTTGGTTGCTTGAGCTGACAGTGCGTGGAGGGGGAGTAGAGTGAGATGAGGGGAGAGGTAGGAGAGTGAATGGAAGGTAGTAGAGTGAGCTGAGAGGGGACAGGTAGGAGAGTCATTGGAGGGGGAATAGAGTGAGATGAGAGGGAAGCGGTAGGAGCGTGCGTGGATGATCTCAATTCGGGTAACTGTGTGATCTTGAAATTGATCTAGGATTGTATTGGGAGCCAGTGGAGGGACGGGAGCATTGTGGTGATGTCGTTTTTGTTGTGGGTGTGGATGAGAAGCCTTGCAGCGGCATTTTGAAGCTCGGCATCAGTGACCACTGCAAGGCTTTGGCCACCCTAGGCCAGTGCGGTGTCAAGAGTTCAGGAGGTCAAGCCAAGTTTATTTGTGCTTGCTCAAGGTGGAGTCTTTACCGACTGTGAACATTTAGCCAAACAGGAGGATAGACTCTCTCTCCAGTCTCACAGGTGTACTCTGTCTGCTTCTGTGTTATCACTTTTCTCCTCTGGTCTCTATCTCGGCTGTGGCTGTCGGCTATGCAATTAATGCCCCCTCTCTCTCTCGCTCTTGCTCAATCACCCATCCGCCTGTCCGCCCACCCGCTCGCCCGCTCACTCACCATCTTCTCACTGTACACGACGCTGCGCAGCCAGCGGAAATCGTGCGGCTTGAAGCCGGCGAAGACGAACAGCGAGTCGGCCTCGTACTTGCGCGGGGTCCTGGATGGCGCCCTCGGGGTAGGTGATGCGCATGGTTGTGCGCGCGCCCACGTCGCGCTCGAACCCACGCACCGGAGCGTTGTTCAGCCTGAGGGCGGGCGGCGGCACAACAAAGCACTGTGGTTGTGGTGGTAGTGTCCGTGATGGTTGGTGGAGGAGGTGCCCACAATTGGGATGGTGGTGGTGAAGGTGCTGGTGGTGAAAGTGCTGGTGGTGATGGTAGTGGTGTTGGTGAAAGTGGTCAAGGTGTTGTGGGAGGTGGTGAAGGTGTTGTGGTGCAAGTAGTGACAGTAGTGAGGGTGTTCATGGTGGTGGTGTTTCACATAAGGGTGGTCGTTGTGGTGATGTTCGCAATCTTGGTGTATTGGTGGTGGTGCCCCTGAGGTGGTGGCAGTGTCCATGTGGTGGTGGATCAGCAGGAGACTTGATGATGAAAACATTAGACTCGGTCTCCGGGCGACGGACCCCGCACTGTGAAATGCGAAGCGATGCCGACACCGCTCTACATTCAGTCGTCAGCAGTTCCCTCTCGGGGGGGGGGGGGGGGGGGGGGGGGGGTGGGGGGGGGCGGCAGCTCGCTCAATAATCGGGGGAGACCCGGGAAGTGCACAGAGGTGACGCGGAGCCCAGAAAGCGCCGCGGGCCTCTGGCTCCGCTCACCGCAACGCTACTTTCGAAAGCCGAGACCCGCGGCACTGCAACCCACCGAATGATGAAGTCGTACTCGTCGATCCGGGCGCCCAGCGACTTGTTGAAGAGGATCCGCCGCTCCCCACGATCACGCAGCGCCTGCACGCGCTGCACCGCCACGCGTGCGCGGTCGGGGAGGGGGTCGCAGGTTAACGTCGCACGCGGGGAAAATCTGTTCGGGCCCTCTCTTGCGCTCCCGTGGACGCGCCGGCCCCGTCGGGGGCGAGCGAGCTGCGGCGCGGACACGCGCAGGAAACATTTCGAACGCGACGCCGGGAGAGGTCGGCGCCGCGTTGCAGAACGTCAACGCTGTCGCACGGTGTGAACCGAATGCCTCGGTAACAGCGCCACATTGACCGCAGGGGAGGACATGTGATTCTCTCGGCGCAAGGTGGCCTTAGTAACCTGGAGGGGGGAGTGCTGGGACTTGGGGGTGGGGGCGCGGAGACCAGCGGTCTGTATTGGGGGGGTCGCCATACAGGCGCTGTGGGCCAACCTCGAAGCTAAAACAAAACAACCGAGTCTGGTCACAAAAGGTTTCGCGGTAAACTCTGCATTTGGCTTCGAGTCCCAGTGGTTTAGGATTTCTTTAGAAAAAAATACTGAGGTTTGTTAACATCGCGCCACTTGCGCTTGAAATGCGCCGGCCTCAGAATTCACCGCCGAGAACGCGTGGGGGCCCGATCCCGCGCTCGTTAGCAGCACATGTGCGCCCCCGCAAACCTGGCTGCCCCGTCAGACCTCGCCGGGCCACGCTTCCGCTCACCTCTGCAAGTGGAGAGGCAGGTCCGACTCTTTCGTCTTCGCCAAGATTTCGTTGACGATCTTTTCTGTAAGGACAAGGCAGGGCCGTCGTTAGGAACTCCGTCGTGAGGAAATTCGAGCGGCCGCCAGCGGCGAGACGAGCACGGGCCACGCGGCGCTCGCGGGTCTCGGCGCGCTCGCAATCACCACGACGTGCCGCTTCTGCGCCGACATTCGTCGGGCGGGATGGCGCGCGGCGTGGAGGTGAGCAACGCAGCCGGAGCGGCGTTTACCTGCGAGCTTTCAACACCCCACGCGCATGCATCGTCGTTTAGAACGTCGGTCAATTGATCCAACAGAGGGTACAGGGAGGCCGATCGAAAACGATGGCGAGCGGCGGCGGTGGCGAGTCGCGATGCGAGAAGCCGATTGTGTCGGATTGAAAGGCCGAGCCAGTGCCGTTCCACACACCCGGGGGGGGGGGGGGGGGGAGGGGTATGTAGCGGTGGCGCGTTTTCACCACGAAGGCTCATCCTGAATGACGGAACTGAACAACGTCTCCGTGCCATTCCCACCCCTCCCTCCTGGCTCCGCAGCCCATGCACCCGCCCGCCCGGCTGCCATCAGGACCCTTATCTCCAGACTCCACGGTGGATTTCCACGCCCGCCCCCCCAAAACAAACGCGCCGTATCGCGCGGCGCAGCCCAAACGCCAAGGGCCGTCACAAAAGCCGCCGCGCAATCAGGTGCCAACGCTCACGCCAGCCTCGCAAAGCCGCGACCCTCCGGCCGCGGCCGCCCCCATACCCCCCCTCCGCCATCATGGCCGGCGCTCCGCGCCACTGTAGGCGGGGTCGCCAAGGGAAGCGGTCGCCGGGCCTGCGGCCGGCCGGGGTTTACGGGCGCGATTGTCAGCGGGCTTGGCACGGTGCCACCTGCCGCCGGGGCTTGCGCGCGCACGTGTGTGCACGTGCATGTGTGCATAAGTGTGTACGTGCGTTTGGAGAGCAGTGACGCAGTGGAACCCGACCGCCCTAGTTTGATTCCCGCTCACGACCAACAACAATGGCGGATATTTGAACTGAACCTGGGCCTCCCCTATGTCCCCTTAAATGAGTACCTGGTACGGTGCATAAACATCACCACTGGGGAGACAAAGGTGGTCGGGCGCGGTGCTATGAAAGCCGTGCTGGCATTCACAGGCGCTCCCTAACAGCCCATGCCCCAAATGTCTGTGAAGGCCATAGGGGGGATTTGTTTTCATACATGTGTGTACATGCATGCATGTGTGTGCATGTCGATTCCTGCTCACGGCCACCAACATGAGTGACTTATCTGAACCGGTCTTGGGCCTCCCCTAGGTCAACTCAGCCTCAAATGAGTACCTGGTGCGGTGTGTATACATCGCCACTGGGGAGAAAAAAGGCGGCTGGGCGTGGTGCTGGCCACCCACCGCCTTCGCGTGCCATGTCGGCCTTCATTAACAGCACTTGCCCCAACAGTCTGTATAGGCTATACGGGGGATCTTTGTACGTGCGTGGGTATGTGCGTGCATACGTATTTCGCCCCGGGTTTGACGAGCGACCACCGCTCCGATCGAGTGACCCTAAACGCCCGAGCCCAAGATCCCAGGCACGGCCGTGGCACTGCTCCGATCAAGTGACCCTAAATACCCGAGCCCACGATCCCAGGCAGAGCCACGTGTCTCGTCTCGTCAGGCATCCTGGGGTAGCACGGAGCGCAATAGAAGGCTGGCGGCAAAGTGCGGAGCGGGCGGTGTGGAGGGACGATCGCGTCGGAGATGCAGAACGAGGGGACGGACGCTACGAGGAACTGACGGGAAGTTGTCGGGGAGGTAGGTGGAGGTGTAGGCGCGACTCGCCACAGGTGGCTTGGCCGGGTTGATCAGGAAGACGATCGTTGACGGAAAAATGGAGAACGGAAAGCAGGAAGAGGAAGGACGCCGAAACGTACGCGGTCGAACGTATGCGGCATTCCGTGGGAAGATGCCGACAATAACAAATTGTGGAGAGCGTCCGTCACGCGGGACTCAAGCAGCGGCTGCGAGGGTGACACCGAGAGAGAGAGATCGACGATGGCCAGATGTAAGTAAAAAAATATAGAGGATTAAGAAGCGCGCGTCAAAATCAAAGTTCACGAGATCGTGTGAAACCGCGGCCCCGGGGACGGAATCCATGCGGGCCACGGCGCTGAAAAATGGGGCCGCGGTATTAAAAATGGAAGCGGGAAACGATCCGAGACTCACCGTGCCATCACCCCGACCCCGAGAAAGCGCTAATTCGTCTTACTGATGACTGTCAAAACAAGGGATTTTTTTTTAGAAATGTACTTGGCATTCCAATAAATATCTGTCTAACTGATAAACTGTCAAAACACGATGTTGCCAGCGACGTACATGGCCGTGCCATTAAACACAGAGCCCAGGGCGTAATTTTTCAATCCGGCCTGCCGTATATTTTTCTTCGTTGGTTATGATTTAGGGAAGAAAAAAATAGATTTAATTCCCGTTTGTGTCATGCTCTAAAAACCTGTCCTGTTTAAGACCTAAAACTAACACCACAGCAGTCCCAGTGGGCTCCACTCGGCGGTGGAAATCATCATCATCATCGTCGTCGGAGACGAGCAGAAAGCCACGGCACACAGCGATGTCTCTGAACCGCCACAACAACGGCCGCGCATCGCCCCCGGGGGCATCCACCAGTGGTGTCCACCAGAGAAGTCCACCAGTGGTGTCCACCAGAGGTATCTCCAAGGGTGTCACCAGTGGTGTCCCACCAGGCTTTTCCACCAGAGCCGTCCATCATTCACCTGACACAGCCACCCCTCCACCACCCCCCACCCCACCACGTGCGTGAGAGGTTTCCTGGCCCTGGGCGACTGGACCACTCACGGTGCTGCTGGACTATTACCATTACTGAGCTCTCATTACTGAGCTATCATTACAGCTCTTAGGTGCCGGACACTTAGGTGCTGACATTTGGGGCCTGTGTGTTCAGCAAAAATGATTTAAAACACACGCACGCACGGCTACAATCCAAGACCACAGCCATAGCAACAGCCTGGAACACGACACAGCCAAACCGCAGCCCCAGCCACTACCCATCCACAGCCACAGAAATGATTATAATCATCATCACAACTTCTACTACAGCAACAACAAGCTGAACCACGGTTACCACCACGACAGCAAACAGTCAAAGCCACAACCTGAACGACAGCTACAACCACAATCCCAGCCACAATCAATCTCAGCTACAATCTCAGCCCACAATCCCAGCCACGACCACAATCCCAGCCACGACCACAATCCCAGCCACGACCACAATCCCAGCCACGACCACAATCCCAACCACGACCACCATCTCAGCCACGACCACAATCCGACCACAATCCCAACCACGATCACAATCCCAACCACGATCACAATCCCAGGCACGACCACAATCCAGCACGACCACAATCCCAGGCACGACCACAATCCCAGCCACGACCACAATCTCAGCCACAACCAAAATTCCAACCACGACCACAAACCCAAGCCACGACCACAATCTCAGCCACGACCACAATCCCAACCACGACCACAATCCCAACCACGACCACAATCCCAACCACGACCACATCCCAGCCACAACCACAATCCCAGCCACGACCACATCCCAGCCACGACGTGGCAGCCAAGGCACGGGGGGGGGGGGGGGGGTGTGGGGATTTACCAACCGGAAGCAATTCCTATGCTCAGTGGGCACACGTGGAGCCGCGAGTGTGGAGCTGCGCACGCAAACTTGCGGCATTCGCTTACAGTCCGGGGATACGACAGCTTCCATCGTCACAGAGCAAGCCAAACGGTGCAGGTGAGACAAACGAGCACCGAGAAGCAATGAAGCGTGCTCGTGTACAGCCCTCCGTCCATCCACTGCCAATGACAACCGCCTACCCATCGCCAACCACGACCTCACCAATGCTCCCTCGCCGCCAACTCAAGTCCCGATCCCACCTCTGGGATCGCACTGCTGCTGTCACCCTCTAAGACTCTCACCAAAATCCGGAATGCTGGCAAACAGACAAAACTCTTGGCCGGTTTCAACGTTCAATGTCTCATCAGCAGAGTCAGGCTTGACTGAACCAATGCTGGTGAATAGCCAGACGTGTAGAGGCAGCAAGGACCCCTAACCCTGTGAGATATTGGTCCTAGTTTGACACACAACTCTATAAAAATACCCAGCGCAAAGTAATCAATCAATACAAATGCCTGAGTCTTGGCCTTGGCTCACAGAACCACAGCAGCGGGCCTACACTGTCGCCTTGTTTGTTTATTTGTATTTCCTAAACGAGGGAGGGATGGGGCAGGAAAGGGAGGCGAAGGGATGGTTGGACCAACCTTGGCCGCGGAGCCCGAAGGGCGGGGGAAAAGTCTCGGAGTGTCTCCCCCACCTCTTGAAGCTCCTGTCCAGGAACATGGGCGCCACGCGGACAACCTGCAGGACACAGGGTCACGTGACACAGACACGCGGTCACGTGACGGCAGACACAGGGTCACGTGGCGCAGACACAGAGTCACATGACACACACATGCTCACATGACACAGACACATGATCACATGACACACCCGAGAGCAATCTCAGGTGACACACAGAGAGCGACCCGTGACACAGACTCCCATGGCACATACAAATCCGCGATTTCGCGTCACGCGGTCTTCGCGTGACGCGGTCTTCGCGTTGACACGGACCGATCTCTCGCGACACAGGCGGGGAATCATGTGACGGGGTGTCAATGACAAACAGGATCTAATGTGACGGAGGGACGGGATTTTGTGTAACGCAGATGCCCGCGACACACTCAGGACCCCCCGTGTGATACAGACGGTCTCGCGTGACACCGCGGGCGTCTCCTGTGACGCGGAACAACAAAGGGCCCGCTTCGTTGCTCTCCCCCAAACCCCCGGCGGCAGAGGGCTCCATCTTTCAGTGCCGTCGCCGGCACGAGGATTGACGGCGGGGCAGGTGTGGGGGAAGTGGGCGCCCGTTTCTCACGGATTCCAGCGCCGCCACGCCACCAACCGCCACAGCCACCACTGCCACGGCGGCCCCCCCCGGCTCGGTGTCATGTTTAACGAGTTCGCCTTTTGGCCCAAAACGGCACTCGGCGGGCGCATGTGGCGGCATCGACAGGTGCTCGCGACGGTGGGGACGGCCAGCTTTCCGGAAAACAAAACAAAACGTATCGTCAGGGAAAAACTCGATGGCAGAAGAAGAGACGTTGATCAGGAGCGGGGGATCTCCGGTGCCAATGCTCGAGGGGCAGGAGTTGCGGGGCCGCGCGAGGCGAGCGACCGGGCCCAGCGCAGGATTGGCAAAAGCGGCAAACGGCTGCCGCTCCCCCAGCCTTGCCACCCGGCGAAACAAACGCCGAACGAAACCTGACGGGGCATTTCAACCAGAGATCTGCGCCGGCGTCGCTCGTGATTACAGGCAGGAGGGCGCATTCCCGTCCCACCCGGTTTGGTAGGCACCAGCGACGTGTTATGGGGGTCTCTGTCCGCTTCCGAAAACGAACCTGGCACTCGTCCTGAGACGAATCTTTTACTAGCGGTAAAGATATGGAGGCCGCGAGCAGCCCACCCGCGTGCGCCAGCATCTGGCTGGCTGGCGGACGTCCGAGCACAAGTTGGGCGCGCTCGTAAAAATCGTCTCGGAGCTGGACTCGCCCGCCAGATGAACGTGGGGCCAAGGGAGGGAGGGAGGAGTGCCAGGTTCGTTTTCGGAGGGAGGGAGGGAGGGGCCACCCGCCGCGAGCTTGCGGTGCAGCCACCGGCGCCCGTGATCCGAACTCGGCATTATCTCCCTCATGGATTGCGAAAACCGGCCACATCGCCGACGTCAAAACCGCTTCGACATCGAGTGGCTGACGGTTGAGCTCCAGAATGTTAAGCCTTCACCGGGCGTGGACGCACTTCCCAGCGATCATTAATTGGGAAGCCGCGGGTCACGAGTCTGCCTTGCCCCGTTAATATTGTAAAAACCGTCCACCTTTGACCGCTGCAGTGATTGGACTCCACCCTTCAAACCCAATCAGCGGAGTCGCGTTGGAGGCAGCACGGCCAAGGATCCCTTAAGCTGACCAGAAACATGATTTATCCGGCTGTGTTTTAATTACTATTATGCAGGTAGCAGGAGAAGGGAGAGGAGGAGGCAGAGGAGGAAAAGCCAGTATTTCACTAAAGCAGGGCTCACCGAGTAAGACAGAACCCTCGGCCGACAGACATGAGCGAACAAAAGCGAGCGGCGATGATGGCGACCCTAGAGACCGGTGCCGCAGCGCAGCACAACCACGCCATCAGGAAATCTCATTGGACGTTCGGGGCACGTCCGACAGGGACGACCGCGTGCGTCTGTCGACAAGTGTGAAGGCCGTGACGGAAAGCTTTCGCGATCTGACATCCCCCGCTGCAGAAGATTAAGATGTCAACGATAAGGCCGCCGCCGTCCTGATTAGCACAACAAGGGGCGGGTGGCACGCAGGGGGAGGGGGGAGTGTGGCGGGGATGCTGGAAAGACGGGGCATGAGTGGGGGGGGGTGTGGGGGATGGGGGGGCGGGGTGCGGGCCAGACGCTGCCCGTTATGCGGCCGTACGAGCCAGGAATAGCCGCGCGCGCTCTGAGAAGAGGCGATCGTTGTCACACGTCCCCCCTGACCTCATCCGCGCACAGGTTTGACACGCGTGCCAACGGACGAGCCGCCGCACGCGCGCACCGTGGCACTGCGTCTTTTTTATATGGCTGCCGCTGCTGTCGATGGAGAGCAGCAGCTGTGACGCTACGCTGAGGTGGCGGGGTGGCGAATCGTCGCTGTGATGATGCTGTGAGCCTGGCACGAATTGACACTGTCGCGTCTTCAACCGCGTAACTTGTAAATAATCATGAGCATCGCCGGGAGAATATGACTTTCTGGGAGTGTGGTCTTCCAATACAAACGTCTGGAAGTTCAGCGGCAATGGATCAAGCTGAGACACTGAATGTCAAAACCGGGTCCAGAGTTTGCTTGGGTTGAAACAATGCTGCTGAAATTATGCTGCTGACGGGATGTGTAAAACATACTTTCTTGCTTTGTTCCTTCGAGGGATGGATGTGACGGAGGCCAATTGTCTGCTCATTACTGTCGCAATTTTTTTGCCCGAGTCTTCCTTTCGCTATTTACACCCCGAGAGATATTCCCACCATATCATCGTCATCGTGCCACGATTGGTAAAGGCGAGCCCACGCCAGCTCTGGAAATACGGAAAGCCCCCTTTCAACGATATGAAGCTGAACTGTTCCACTCTGGCCCCGATGAACGTCTCGGAACACGTATCACGCCGTGCGATGTGTCAGACAATGGTTGCGGAAGATAACGTCACAGAACCACATCTGAGGTCCCTTTACCCAGGTGCTCTTCACCCACACCAGATGCGCGCACGAGCTACTGCCTTTTAAAGCAAAGTTATTCATCCGCCTGGAAATCACCACATCCAGATCTGATATTGGTCACTGGGAAAACACCATCACCAACGACTCACTGAACTCGAGGAGCTGGTTTGACCACAGGCGCTTGAAACCTCTCAATGTTGCTGGTGGCTCAGTGCTCTGACCCGGTAGCGTAGTGCTTAGCAGTACGAACCCGGTGACCCAAGTTCAATTCCCGCTCACGGCCAACACCAATGACGATTATCTGAACCGGTCATAGGTCGACTCAGCCTCAAATGAGTACCTGGTGCGATGTCAGTTTAACACGTAGGTTTTCGCGACCAATAGCATCCATAAGAGAGGGTTTTTTTTGGGTTAGATCGTGTAAATATATAAATGTGTCGTTAAAATACGCTACCACCCGACACAGCCAACTAGTAAGGGTTGTAACGTAAACAGAACGTGGCCAATTCGTCACAAGTACAGCACACCGGTGTGTTGGAGAGCCAAGCAGCAACATTTACAATCTGAGTACGACGTTTGCCAGCAATTACAACTAGCTTCATCGGGCCAGATTTGTGGAGAAGTCCACCTGTTTCGTTATTTATATAGAGCGTAGATGTGGTGACCACACTTTTGCGCTCTTGCGCTAAGTGGGGGGGGGGGGGATTAATGAGTCAACGTACATTATGCATGTGCATTAAGCCCTTTGATCTTGTCCTTCCTGTCCATTGTGTGTATTAAAATAGCCTACCAACTGTAGTCCCTATTGAAGTATGGTGACCTGTATAGGCATGCATTTAAATAATGTATTATTTGATGATTCGCTTCCACGCAGCACTCAGGCGGTAGCTATCCGAACGGTTAAAATAATTTTTAGTTACTTAAATTTCGATAGATTATCTAATTATTCTTGGCCAGTAGTAGCTAGTTTTGCACAGAACTTATAAAATCAATTGAGTGTCCTTGTTGGCACGCGTGTTCTGCTTACTGCTGACAGTTGCATTTGGGAGAATTTAATATATCTCTGCTGTTATTTTAGTATCGTGCTGATAATTCGTCCTGTTTGCCCAACATAACATTTACCACACGTGCAGTAAATCCTGTACACAGCTTCTGTTGATAGCTTCGGTAATACATATTTTGTACCAGATATTAAATTCTGTATTTTATGTACCGTGCCAAATCTGACTCGGATGTTTTGTTTTTCCAAACATCTGGCTAGTTTATCAGTTACTCCCATAATGTACGGTATTTTGATCGTTTTAATTACTTGGGCAGGTTCAATGCTCATGTTATTTGATTTGGTTTTGGCATTCAATGCCCTCTTGATTTGTGCATCATTTACAGCGCTTCTTTAACATGTTGAATTTGACTACTCAGACTGTTACCATCTGACACTTTCTTAGCTCGATGAATGAGCGTCTTGATAAGAGCAGATTTTTGTACGGGGTGATGGTGTGACTGCATTCAGATAGGCGTCAGTATGCATTTCCTTTTGGTAAACTCTGTGTGATATTTTACCATTTCAACTCCGTCCGTGCAGAATATCCATTGGCGATGTGTAAATGAGGAGACAAAGGCGGCTGAGCGTGGTGTTGACCATCTACCCCCTCGTATGCCATGCCGGCCTTCATAAGTGCTCACTAACAGTACTTGCCCCAACAATCTTTTAAGGCTATACGGGGGACCTTTGTATTTGACCCCTGAGTTAAGGAGCGGTGGCACAGTGGTTAGCGCACCGTGCTACGAACCTGGCAACCCAAGTTCAATTCCCACTCACGACATCAACAGTGGCGAATATTTGAACCGTCCCACCACCTCATGCGCCGTGGTGCTCATAAACGATCTGTTCAGGCTATCTGGGGGGACCTTTGTCTTTGTTTGACCCCTGAACCACCTGGTTACTCTCGCTTCCAAATAGAGATCAAGTTCAAGCTGAACAGGCACTAAAACCAACGCCAAGTGAACAGTCTCCTCATTGTGAAGGAGCGGGATTGCGTGTGGATGCTTCCTCTCCTCGCCCGCAACACTCTCATCCCATAGTTTCAGTTCCGGGATGTGGTCCACTGAGCTCTGTCGGAGCCCAGGGTGATCGTGCCGGACGCTGCAGGAACAGTTGCAAGCCAAGTCAAAGTGCTCAAACTGCCATTAGGGCTGCGCTCATCTCATGTTTACAGCCCTGGAGCCAGTAGTGGAAATTCCCAATTCCCATGGCAGGGATGAGTCAATGCATAGGACAATTATCGGGGACCCCACAAAGCGGTCATCATTTTATCAACCCCGGAGGGAGGGATGATGGGCTGAGTCAACCGCCCCCAACCAGAACTTGAACTCACAGCCTTCTGAATGCGAGCCGCTCGCTCTAGCGCTGGGCAGCCACCTGACTGAGCGAAAATACGAAATCTCCCTCTGTGGTAATGAACATCCAGGCCCACAGTTGAAACCTGGGGACCCCTTCCTGGGAAGCAGCCTGAGCCCGATGGAATTCGAGGGGGCCAAGGAGCAGCGGGAGGTCACGGGCCCCGGCTCACTCGCTCGCTCGCTCCAGGAAGCAGCGGGCACGCAAAGAGGGCAGCCGGCGCTGCCCAGTGAAGCTCGACAAAGCCGCATGCCGCTGACGCAGCCCCGCCATGCCACGCGTGACCCCGAGAGGGGCCGCACGCCGTTACCGGCAGAGGGAACAAAATCGGGCCGGGTGAGCAGCCTCGCTCCCTCGCTGGCTCGCCCGTCCCGTCACCGCCTGTTGTGAAAGGTGAAGGGATTTGGAAGCTTAGGCTAAAACGCTTCGCTGTCGTCTGCGCTGCCTTCAAGGCGCAAGCTTTAGGGGCTGAACCGGCAAAAATCCTCCTGCGACTAAAATAAACAAATAGCGAGCGGCCAAGAGAGAGAGCGCGCGCATATACACGTTACGCAAACGCACACGCCGTGCAAGCCGCACAGAGGAGCTCGCGTGTGCAGCACACACACGCGTAACGTGCGCACGCTTTGTGCACGTGCAGAACACTCGCTCACTCACTGGCTCAGTCTCCTCCTCATCATTCTTCTATCGCTACTACCATGGTTACTGTGTTCCATGAACCTCAATAATTGATTCCTCCTGCTATGTTGAGAGCTCGGTCTACCAGACACCGACTGTTTCGTCTCATCCACCACACTCATCCGTACCGTGTTCAACGACCAAACTGCAGGTCACGACAACACACACCAATCACTAATCGACCACTCACTCACTATCCTATGCACCAACATACACAATCACTCACCCACCCACTCTTCCACTCACCCGCCCACCCACCACACAGCAGGTCACTTCACTTCTCTTTCAGCTTCGCACCGCTCCACTTTGGAATTCCCTCCTCCCATCATACTCATCATCATCATCGTCTTTCCCCCCACCCCTCACTCAATTCAAGACACGTGTTACACTCCAACTATTACCGCTTTGCTAACAGTGCTGTTGGTTGCTGGCCGCGTGACGAGACAGGCCTCTGCTTGGAAGTTGCGTAAACATATTTCAATAAAAAAGGGAAAATATAAAAATGTATTAAAAAAATAGATCGCTAGAACACGTCGCTGCGTGTGTTGGCCTCAAGCCCGGCCCGGCCGCTCACGACCGTCATCTGGAGCGCTCTCCGCACGCAACAAGGCCGCCACGCTCATTGTAATAAACTACAAGTAAACTATTTTATTCCACAAGGGAAGGGCCACTGATCTACATAGCTCTTTTTCAAGAGTGGATGACTTGCCCAAGCTATAAATCGGATCTATATAAACTACTTATTTATTTACATGTAGTTACTTGCTTTCCTTTTTCTCTATGTTGTACTCCTATCGTGATGTTTGTCCTGTTCGCTGTTCTAACTTGCTGACCCGCCCAAAACGGACATCTGTGAAAAAGAGCTTCATAGCTCATCGGATTCCTCTTCCTGCAGTCTAAATATTCCTTTATGACTGTCACGTGGAACTTCATAGTAGTCAAATAGTCTAAACACGTGACATTGATTCTAAATTTGGAAAAACCTAAGGACCCAGAGTAAAATCCACATGACCACGGAGAAAGAGACACACAAACTCCAAATATACAGCAAGCGTCGTCAGGGTCAGGATCGAACCCACGTCCTCCTGCATACCAGGCGAGGTAACCCCCCTAATGGACTCTTCCTCGTTTTTCTCTTCTCTGGACGTTTTTTTATTTTTCCACAGTTTTTCACGTTCCATTTACAGCAGCGGTGCGGGGCTGCTCTCCGGCGCCCCGTCGCGTCCGCGCCGCGGGGAGCGCGACTCTTCACTCGTCGACGGGATATTTAAACAAAATACTCATTTATGTGCTGGTATACATTTGTACGTGGAGGTACGGAAAGGCGGCATTGTCTGCTAATAGTTTTTGTTGTTGCTGCTTATATTCTCTGCAATACCGCAAATTATGGTCTCGAACTAGGACCCACATCTAAGAGAGAGAGCCCTTTGCTATGCACATCTGGACAGTTCACCAGCGTCGGTTCAAGCAAGCAAGACTGCTGACGAGACACAGAATGCGTTGAACCGATGCAGCTGAAATTATGCGTAAAGAAACGCTGGTATGTTTGTGAGCGGAGGGACAGTAGTGGTGGCGGCGTATGCGTTGGCTCCGCTACTCACTTGGGGAAGATGGCCGTCATCTGGCTGGGGGTGTAGCTCGCGCGGCACGCAGGCTCCGTGCCGTTCCCTCCTCGAGCATCTTCCGTGGCGGCCCTGGGGGGGGACGGGGGTTGGGGGGCGAGTGGGGTCAGGGGGATTGACCGAGTGGGGTCAAGGAACCGAGGTGTCAGGGGTCAGGGAAGAGGGGGTGACAGGGGGTCGCAGGGATGAAGTCAGCGGGATCGGAGAGACGGGGTGAGCGGGAGATCAGCGCCGTGTCGGGCGGAGAACGTAAATTCAACTTTGAGCGGCGGCCACCACCGCGGCCTCTCTGACATCTGCCCTTCCCCCAACCCCCGCTCTCCCCCCGTGCACCTGTGGAGAATCTGAGCGTCACCCCCCTATGGATGTCCTCCGCCGTGCCGCCCCAACCGCACTCACTGCTGCATCTCCTGATGTCTAACTCCACCCCGGGGACGGGGCAGGGGACGTGCAGCTCCCCCCACTTCCCCAAACCCCCACCATCCCCCACCACCCGCTCTTTGCTTACCCAAATTAAACAAAAGGCCGCAAGGAACCGGGGTTTAAACGGCAAATTTGAAGAACTTTAACAATTCGGGGCCACGGCTTGAATCACAAACTCATTCCGTTTACCATCTCGGGAGGTCACCTCACGCGCCTCTTCTCAACGCTGCTATTGCCTGCCGCCCATTGGCTTAAGCGTTTCCATTAGCATAACTCAAACAGCACCGTCGCAAGGCTCCCACCGCCGCCTCCGCGGGATGCTAAAAGACGAGTCGGCGACTTGTTACGCCCGCTTACGAAAACACGCCGAGCGAGAGTCGACGGCTTTGTTCACTTAAAGTAAATAAGCGATTTCTGCCGGCCCGAGGAGGAATTAACCTCTCGCACGATTCAGCAACGCGAGGGCCCCGAGCGGCATCATCATGGCGTAGAGGGATGGATGTTTTAAACGGCGCCGGCATCTTCTTTATCGGCGTGCAAGTGAGCGAGTGGCGCGACCGCCGCGGCGGCCTAGCGGGATAATTACAAAGGCATGTCTCGACTCACCCTCGCGGCTCGAACTTCAGCACGAATCCCAGCCGATCAAACTCTGCAACGAAGAGAGAGAGGGGGGGAGGGGAAACAAGCAGAACAAGGTCTCGTCACTCGGCGGCCCGGCCGCCCGGCTCTCCCACCGGGCCCTGCGGCCCCGAGGCAGCGCCCGCACTCGGGGCATTAACCGTGGCGCTTCCCACGACTTGAAACGTCGCGCCGAGCGCACACGGGCGGAGGCAGCCTGCGTAAAGTGGGAAAGGAGGCCTGCGCTCGTACGCAAGTCTGGCGCGGCACGCACGTTAAGGGCCGCAAGCGACACGTACCGTCGGGTCCGTGTGGGGTCGCTCGAGGCGCAGATGGGAACGGTGCGAGTTTTGTTTGAGGGACCGCAGGCCAGCGCTCGCCGCTGCCGAGCCTGCGCCGGGACACGGTGAATCGCGCGGAGGAAATCGCATTCCGAGTCGGTCGGCCGGTTCTTGGGCGCAGCGCGGGTCCTTCGGCCACGTCGAATTCGCAAGAGACGTCCGTTTGGACTTTGGGCCACCGTCGGAGCACGGGCGACAGGTCACGGCGGTCCGGCCACGGTGGCGTCGGCGACTGCAGCGCCACTTCCTGCCTCTTTGGTCATGCGCGCTATGAGCGAGCTCACGGATCGGCCAGACCGGCGAGAACGGAGTCGGATCAATCAGTAAATAGGCGGCTGCTTGTCTCAAATTGTAATTGACAACGGCTGCATTAGATCGGAGGAAGCTTTGTTTATTCTTTAAAATTGCTTGAAAACTACCTCGGAAAATATAACTCATGGAAATGTAATCCATTTGAATCATTTGAAACGTTTCTAACTCGCGTGCCGTGTGAAACTGCCACTGCTCAGGACTACTCAGAGCGACCCGGCACGGGACTTATGCGAGCGTAATTATTGACTCGTCTTACCCCGTTGTTAGAGGACCATTATAATAACCGCAGTTATCGGGGGGTCCAAAACAAAGAGGAGCTAGCGAGAGAGGGTTGGGGAGTGGGGAGGGGATACGGGCAGGAGACCCGGATGTGGGACGCGGGACATTCTATTCCCAGCACCGCCGGCGACCCGCGCAGATTTATCGCCCCGCTTGGCCGTTTTACATAAGCATCCGAGCGGCTTCAAACAACAAATCTCACCGCTCAGCATCTGGTATTTTGCGTTAGAAAGTTGATTTCACCTCCGCGCACCGTCGGGCCCAGGCGTGGTGTTTTTGTTTGGCGCGGCGCGGAATCGGTGGGACGGGACGGGGGTCGGCCCGGCGCGACGCGCAAACATGGCACGGACCGTTTTGGCGAGCCCGCTGCTTTCTCTCAAAACAGCGACGGCGGCGAAACAAAGTTGAAGAATCGCTCGCAAGACATTCATCAGCGGCGGCGAGGAGGAACCCTACCCCGCAATACCCCCCCCACGTCCCCCCCTGAACCCAGGGGGCCGCAAGGCTGCGGGCACAACAGCGGCGCAGTGGCACGGATGCGCGGAATGCGCCCGGCGTGGGCACTGCCGGCGCTCCGCGCGGATAAGCCCTGCCATTTTTATACACTTTATCGGAGGGGCCACAGGCGCCTCAATCGCCCTCGCGCCATTACTCAGCACGCTGTTGCGATGAGAGGGTGCCTGCCGGTCATTTAGCCTGGGCACTTCTGGGCGACACTTCTTCGCGAGACGCCGGGAGAAACGCACGCATGAGATAATCGTGACTTCACCGGCCGCTGCAATCACCCCAAAGAAATCCTCGACTCCTCGCGCACAGTGCACGTGCACATACGCGCAAACACGCGCGTGAGATGCAACCGCGACTCTTGAAAGGACGAAGCTCATGACCGTGGCACTGCATTTTCGGCATGCTTCAAGCGTGAGATTTTCTCCTCCTTGTCACACAGACTGCCAAACTTTACGAGCAAACAGCCTCGGCGGACTACACCTCTGCCCACTGCGCGCGTAAATAAAAGCATTTTTTGCGCGCATGAGATGTTTTTGCCCCGTGGATGCCACGAGGGCCGTAAACACGCTGCTCCGTGCACCCATGTAGAGGCGTCGCGCCGAGCAGATGACCCCCCCTCCCCCGCCGCGTGCCGTGTTTGTACAATCCCAGCGCCGCAAACCCTCGCTCGCCTCCACCACCACTCTGTGTCACGTCCACCGCCGCAATTGTTAACATGCCCTCTCGCTGACAAACATCCGCGGGGGAATCAAACGGGGCGCACACGGGACCAGAACCGCGAGCGCCCCGTGCAGGGCAAGTGGTGGTGAGGGGGTGTCCGCAAGCTGCCCTGTAGTTCTCATTAAAGACAAAACGTTTTTTTTTTTTGTAAAAATAACTTTGAAGGCTCGGGTCCGTGGACGGGCGCACGTTTGAATCAGACGGCGAGAAGAGCCGGTGATGCCGGGAGAGATGCGGGGAGAGATGCTGGGGGAGATTCGGGGAGAGACACGGGAGAGACACGGGGAGAGATGCCGAGAGACACGCAGGGAGAGACCGTGTGGAGAGACGCCGGGAATCCAACGCCGGGAACCCACCGCGATGCAAAACCCTGCACCGTTCCGTCCGGCAACATCAACCACTAATCACTTGCCAACTTCCGCTTTATAGACAGGGCCTAATTTGGCAATGCGACCTGACTGCTTTGACAAGACAAAAAAAAACACACCCCCCAGCTCGGCCACTCACCAAAATAAAAACCATCATCAACCGTCGTGTTTATAGTGCGGCCATTCCGAGCTCAACACGGCACGCTCGAACGTAACTTGCCCCCGCGTCTCGTAAACTGGTCCTCGCGCTCGTATTTTGCATTTTGCCGCCGAATTCCGAGTGGGCTGCGGCAGGAGACAGGACCGCGGTCCGGGGCACGCACGCCCCGGTGGGCGGCGTGCCACTCGGTGCTCACTGGCACAGGGGTTTTGTATAGGGCGCCCCGCGTGGCATCGAGCACGTGTCCGTGGGTACCGGTGAGCTCGGCGTGGGCTACGTGGGCGCGGTTCCGACGAGATAAACATCTCGTGAGATCTGGCATGACACAGGACGGAACGCACCACGGCGACAATGTGTTCCCCACCGGGGCCACGCTGAGCAGCAGACGGGAGGCTCGAGGGGCCACTGCTCATGGTGACGATTCGGCACGGGACAATCCACACCCCCACCGCCCCCCGGCGACTCCACAAAGTCCCCATACTGGGACACAATTCTACTCCAGAATGAGCTCGAGCGTTGCGTCATTGTTGTTACTGTCGCCATCCATCTCACTCCAGCTCACGAGCTTATCTCATCGCTCCATCGCCGGCGGTGGTCATGCCGCTTCATCACCGGTGTCATCCGGCGACCATCAGTGGACATTTTCTCCCTTCGCTGCCGCTCCATCCAACGATGACGTGTCCAGCCCGACGCAACTCTTTTCAACGATCAACCTGGGCGTCTCTCGTTTTGTTTCTCGACTAATCCCTTCTCACCGTCACTCGGTGAACATTCCCAGCATACGTCTCTCCACTTGCGAAAACTTTTCGGGAACCGTATATACCCTAGATTCTCTTACATGCCTCCTGATTCAACGCCGCGTATCGCGAGCACAATAATCGAGTGTAATAATCGACGGATCGCTGCATTGTTATGACCAACTGCCACAGCCAGCATATAGAACGCCCCCGCTGGGCCGTGAGTAGCACCCTGGCAGGGTCACCTCTTCTCACCCATGCAGCTCAGGGCATCAGGCAGGGTCTGCAGGTGACAGCTGCACTCGAACTCAATGACCCTTGAGTTCCTCTCTTCCATCCTCCAGCTTCCTTCGTCCGATCTTGACTTGTAGCCTTTATATTCACCATGCGGGCCTTCCTTCTAGTCCATCAAGCGGCACTTTTTCTGTCTCAGACTCTCTTCAGTTCTCAGTGCACCCTGGGCAAGCATTGGGACTGCTTGCCCACTCGCCCATTCGCTACCCCGCCCGCTCCCCAGCCACCCACCCGGTCGCCCACCCGCTCGCGGATCACCTGGGCAGCTGTGGTTGGAGAAGAGCACGGAGAACAATGGAGCAGCGAGAAGCCTGGAGTAGAGCTCCGCGCCGCCGCCGCTGCTGTGCTGCCCCCTGCTGCTCGTGGCACGCACGCGCAGGGCTCACGACGGGGAGCGTCACCGCAGGACTCGCCACGGACAGCGCCACTGCAGGGGGCACGGGGGTGGTGCATAGCGGGGGGCAGCTGGCGAGATGAACCCCTCGCCTCCCCGCAAATCGATGAAGATGTATCACAAATTCATCACCATCAGCCATCGTCAATCCAAGGCCTCTCCAAGCAGCCGCCATCTTCCGCGATCCCGCGATGTAACGATCCACCCGCGCAGGAACCAAGCTCACCGCTCCATCCCCCCGGTTGGACATCGGCTTGGGTGCGTTCCATCCATCGTCCATCATCCCTGCTATCCGTGACGCATCCTGTCCAGGCCCCACTCGCTTCTCTTCATAGTCTGGATGATGATGATGATGTTGTCTCTATCCTGTTCTCTAATCCACGCGTTCCTCGTCTCCGTCTCTCAGTGCCATCCCACGCGCGCGTCTCGTGCACTTGTCGCTTTTTGTTCCGCAAGTTTGGTTCGTGGCCGCGGTGTCGGCAGCAGGAGGTGCTGCTACCATGCTCTGGCGAGACACATTCTACTTCTTATCTTGGGCGTTTGTGACCAAAATACTCACTCTAGGGGCACAACAGCACTATGAGACACATCATGTAAAAACATGACAACAATAATATATATAGTTATAGCCTACGTATGTTTGTATACGGGGTGAAAACTTTACAATAGGTTTTACCCTTTCTGGCAATAAAACAGGTGCTAAGATGTTCAAACACCAAATAGAATCCTTTTTCAAGGAATCCTGTCTGCATTAACCACACGTTTGTTTGTCAACTCGTAATTTATGTTATTTTCGTGGCGATTTATTTCTGTGCAGTTAAATCAGGCGTGGTCCAAAACATCACCCATCACATATTTTTCTGTGATTATTGACGAGCGTGTGGATTTTTTAATTCGATACCTGAATTGCTTTTAGACGTTTTTTTACATCATTCAGTCGTACGCAAGCGAACCACCCCCACCGCGGCAGCCGTACGTACGCCCGCCGCGGAAACCGTTCCTCGATCCAATCTATTCGTGGCCGCCGCTGCAAGACGGGATGCAGGGGTCCACGTGGGGTGGTGCCCTGGACGTGACGTGGCCGGGAACCCAACGCCGAGCGCGACGGCCGCATTCCGCGCACTCGACGCGGTCCAGCGGCACGAGGGAGGGAACGCGTGGTGGGATGGCGACGGGCGCTGTACGGGGGGGCGGTTAGCGGGGCAGGCGACGAGCAGTTGAGGACCTACGAGCGGCACGAGCGGCGTCGTCGCCGAGGGTTAATTGGAAGCGCAGAAGCAGCTCGAGCCCGGACTGGAAAATAAAATGGGGAGGGGGAGTGGGGTTATGGGGGAGAGGGTACGGAGGGGAGGGGGCACTCACGTGGCTCGTGGGCCCAGGCCACCTGGTGCAGCTTGCCGGAGGAGTAGTAGAGGAACCCCACCACCAGGGTGAGGCAGAGCGCCGCAAGGACGCTGCGCGCCCATCGGGAGCGCGCTCATCCTCACATCGTCATCCTCAACATCGTCATCCTCACATCGTCCCTGCCGTCTGCTCCCTCGCCCCGCATCGCGCACGCGGGGGGGGGGGGGGGGGGGGTGAGAAGTGATGATGAAGATGATGAGGGATGAAAGAGAGGGCGGGTAAATGCGTGTTGGTAGAGCTCTGCGTGAAGGATGAGAGGGAAGTGAGTAAGGGGTGAGAGGGAAGTGAGTGAGGGGTGAGAGGGAAGTGGGTGAGGGGGAAGTGGAGGTGAGGGGTGAGGGGGAAGTGGGTGAGGGGTGAGGGGGAAGTGGGTGAGGGGTGAGGGGGAAGTGGGGTGAGGGGTGAGGGGGGAAGTGGGTGAGGGGTGAGGGGGAAGTGGGTGAGGGGTGAGGGGGAAGTGGGTGAGGGGTGAGGGGGAAGTGGGTGAGGGGTGAGGGGGGAAGTGGGTGAGGGGTGAGGGGGAAGTGGGTGAGGGTGTGAGAGGGAAGTGGGTGAGGGGTGAGGGGGAAGTGGGGTGAGGGGTGAGGGGGAAGTGGGTGAGGGGTGAGGGGGAAGTGGGTGAGGGGTGAGGGGGAAGTGGGAGAGGGGTGAGGGGGAAGTGGGTGAGGGGTGAGGGGGAAGTGGTGTGAGGGGGTGAGGGGGAAGTGGGTGAGGGGTGAGAGGGAAGTGGGTGAGGGGTGAGGGGGAAGTGGGTGAGGGGTGAGAGGGAAGTGGGTGAGGGGTGAGGGGGAAGTGGGTGAGGGTGAGGGGTAGTGGGTGAGGGGTGAGGGGAAGTGGGTGAGGGGTGAGGGGGAAGTGGGTGAGGGAGGGAAGTGGGTGGTAGGGGTGAGGGGGAAGTGGGTGAAGGGTGAGGGGAAGTGGGTGAGGGGTGAGAGGGAAGTGGGTGAGGGGTGAGGGGGAAGTGGGTGAGGGGTGAGGGGGAAGTGGGTGAGGGTAAGTGGGTGAGGGGTGAGGGGGAAAGTGGGTGAGGGGTGAGAGAGAAGGGTGAGGGGGTGAGGGGGAAGTGGGTGAGGGGTGAGGGGGAAGTGGGTGAAGGGGTGAGGGGGAAAGTGGGTGAGGGGTGAGAGGGAAGTGGGTGAGGGGTGAGGGGGAAGTGGGTGAGGGGTGAGGGGGAAGTGGGTGAGGGGTGAGGGGGAAGTGGGTGAGGGGTGAGGGGAAGTGGGTGAGGGGTGAGGGGGAAGTGGGTGAGGGGTGAGGGGGAAGTGGGTGAGGGGTGAGGGGGAAGTGGGTGAAGGGTGAGGGGAAGTGGGTGAGGGGTGAGAGGGAAGTGGGTGAGGGGTGAGGGGAAGTGGGTGAGGGGTGAGGGGGAAGTGGGTGAGGGGTGAGGGGGAAGTGGGTGAGGGGTGAGGGGGAAGTGGGTGAGGGGTGAGGGGGAAGTGGGTGAGGGGTGAGAGGGAAATGGGTGAGGGGGAAGTGGTGAGGGGTGAGAGGGAAGTGGGGGAGGGGTGAGAGGGAAGTGGGTGAATGATTGACATATAATGAGTGGGCACAGTGGTTGTAACACAGACACAACAACAACCGCCATTCGCCACTAAGTGGCGGTGACGTCACCCACGACGCTTGTTGCCAGGCCATGTGCACCTTGAGGCCACGTGAAGTGTCGAACGCCCGCTGGCAGGAGGTCAATGGGCAGACCCAGGTGCCACGTGTCGACTGACTGATGCACCACCTGTGCCCCCTACTGTGCCAACCTGCTGTGCTTTAGCCACCCGGCGCTCCGCTCATTGTTTGTGAGCATCGCTCCTCCGCCCTCCGCTGTTGTTGGAGGGCGACTACCTCCAACTGCCCAGTAGCGTCCTTCACAAGCCTCCTCCAAAGAGGCCGATCGTGACACCGCTGGTACCAGTCATCGGCAAGTCCACGCAGCTCCACGTCCTCCTGTACCACATCGCTCCATCTCTTCTCTAGCCCGTGCCACGCCCGTTTAGTCCCCTCAATGCTGCCGAACAAAAAGCTGTTTCAGCATGCGGTGGCTGGGCATGCGGGCTACATGACCCAGCCAACGCAGCCTTGCCTGCCGGAGGAGCTCACCGATGGGACCTTGCCCAGATCTTTCAAGGATGTGTGAGCTCACACAATCCAACCTGATTAAACCCAGGATGGATCGTAGGCAGGCTAGCCTAAATGTTTCTAACCAGCAAAGATGTTCCATTAAGGGGGCCCACGTGTCGCAAGCGTAGAGAAGGGAGGGAATGACCGTGGCCCGAGGAAGACCTGAAGCTTAATGTGGAGCGACAGACCAGGTAGCTTCCACACAGCGTTACGAAAACCGATGAAAAGATATTGCCGCCTCGACTGATTCGGAGTGAGACCTCTGCTGTTAAACTGGAGCCGGTCATAAGCACACTGCCCAGGTATGGGAAACTCTCCACTCTCTCCACAACTGCCCCCATCACCGATTGGGATTTGTGGGGGGTGGAGTGTCCGATGGTACAAAATACCCAGGCAGGTGCTTAGTTTTGGTAGGGCTGATGGTAAGGCAACATCTCTTAGTGGCATGCACCAGTCCTCAGCAGCAGCGTCTCCAACTCCTCCTCTGAATGAGCCGCTATTACAAATCATCGGCATACATAAAGTGGTTTGAGCAGTTCGGGAGCCATCCCTTGACCGCACCCGGGCATCGATCAGCCTCCCATTATATCTGTACCAAATGGAGATTCCCCCGGTACAGCTATTGAAGGCTTCACGAACTACGTGGTCAAAATATATGTTAAATAATGTGGGAGCCAGAGGACATCCCTGTCGCACCCCAAGGTGGACAGGGAATGGCTCCGAGTCCCCGGCCACGTAGTTTTACCTGGGCCCGCTCACCATCATGAAGGTCCTTAATGATCGTGAGCAGGGGGTCAGGGACTCCAAAAGCACGAAGAACAACCAACAGCCCAGGCCTACTGATGGTATCATAGGCCTTGACCAGGTCAATAAAGCAGCGATATAGGTCTTGTTGGAATTCCCTACACCTCTGCTGTAGCAGACGGAGAGAAATTATGGCATTCTGTGCAGGACCGCCCTTTCCTGAAACCGCTTTGGGGCTCCGCAAGCCTCTCCTCAGCGTGCCTGGCAAGGCGATGTTGAATAATCCTTGCCAGGACGTTTTCCGGCACACTGAGGAATGAGATGCCCCTGCAGTTGTTACACAGACACACACACAGACACACACACACTCTATGTAATAACACCAACAGACAACTGCACATGGTGCAACCCCCGCTGTAGTTTCATGTTACGCGACTGACCTCCCCCTCGCTTCCCGGCCGATCAAGGCTCCGTGGCCCGACTGTTCCGGCGACGCTGGGCCAAACCACTCGCTCGCACTCACGCTGGCCAATGAGTGACTCCGGGGAGGCGGCGTTACATAACGGTCTGCCCTGGTCAGAGTCCCCCCCCGCTCCCCCGCTCCCAATGCACCCGCCCCTACCCCCTTGCCACCACTCACCACATCCCTGCAAGCCAAGTCGGTGCTCGAATTGTGTGGCGTTAACACCGACGGGCACCGACCATGCCACGGCCACCGGTGGCACCTCTGCGCACGAAAAGAAAGCACGAACCAACAAATGATATCCACGACACCTCGCTGATTCTCATATTCTTGGTTCTTTCGGTAAAGTCACGTAGAAGGGAAACAATAAAATAATAAAAATATAAAACAATAAAATTATCACGACGTTTCGACTGCAACACAAGCAATCATCATCAGGTGTGAAAACGACAGCAAGAAAATTCGAAAAAAGTGGCTTTTTTTTTTACTTTAGCACCACGGAGAGCGATTTGGCAGTTATTCAGATGGACGAGTCCATCTATGCGCAGAAAAGAGGAGGGGGAGACGAAAATAATGGACGCGGTCTGAAAGCCACCGTAAGCGTGAACAATCAATTAAGAACCGAAACGGTTTTATCAAATCCTTCCAATGATTGCTAAGCCAGAATCCATCTTCTCGGTTGAAATTGTCTGTTTGTATATGTGGATAGCCTCATGAACGAATCTTTCATGGTAGCCAGGATGGCTTGCAAAGAACCTCTGTCTTGGAGAAGTCAATGTCATGTGAGCCTACTGAACTATAACAGTGATCTGCCAGGGCCGAGGTGTTGGTCCTACCGTGTTTTAGGTCTGCTTTGTGTTCACGAATGCGGTCCGAGACATGTCGTTTGGTTTCTCCAATGTAACTACTACCACAGAGGCAACTTAGTTTGTAGACGCCAGGGTACTGTATGTCCGGAAGCACATATTTTACAGACGGAACCAGATCACGGATTTTATGTACTGTGTTGAATCGGACCTGGATCTTTGTGTTTATTCAAGATGCCAGCTAGCATCCTCAGCAAAGATGAGCGTTTTGAATTATATCAATTAAAAAGAGGATGACATTGTCATCCTCTCAGCCGACAAGGCAATGCCACTGTCATCATGGATAAAATAGAATATAACAACAAAATTAAAGAATTACTCAACGATGGCAGCTATACAAAAATAAAGAGATCCCACCAACAGCCTCGTCATTAAAACCAACAAAATCATTTATGATTCAACTGCATTAATTGATCAAACCAAACAGTTCTCGTTGAAACCCTCTGCTGCCAGACCACCAAGATTATATGGCCTTCCAAAGATACACAAAGAAGATACACCCCTTCGTCCCACCGTCTCTACTATCAACTCCCCCACCTACAAACTGGCTCGTTTTCTGTCTGAAATCCTGCGGCCTTTCACTGGAAAAACCACCTCTGCAGTACAAAATTCAACTCACCTGGTATCGACAATCGCGGGTATTTCCCTGTCCCCAGACGGCCTGCTTGTCAGTTTTGATGTAGTTTCCTTATTCACCAAAGTTCCTGTACCTGACACCATCGCAATCATTGAAGACTTGGTTCATCAATGACTAAACACTGAGGTACCCCCCCTGGTGAGACACTGCTTAACCAATACATACTTCACTTGGAATGGAACTTTCTACAAACAAAGGGCACCCAAGGGCTCCCCCCTATCTCCGGTTGTAGCCAACATTTTCATGGATAAATTTGAGACTGACGCCATCCAGACTGCCACTCTGTGCCCAACCTTATGGAAGAGGTACATGGATGACACTTTTGTCATCTGGCCACATGGCCGGCCTGCTCTAAACCAATTCCTCGACAACATCAATTCCATACACCCAGCCATCAGATGTACCATGGAAGTCGAAAAAGATGGCAAGCTACCTTTTTTATATGTCCTAATAAAAAAGAGACCTGATGGTTCAATGAGCCACTCTGTCTACAGGAAAGCTACCCATACGGATGCTTACCTGAAACCGGATTCCCACCACCATCCATCCCAGAAGAATTCCCTCATCAAGACTCTGTACCATAGAGCCCAATGCATATCCGACCAGGAACACATAACCAGTGAACTCAAGCACGTACACCAAGCTCTTAAAGCTAATGGTTACTCCGACTACACAATCGCCAAAGCTATCACTCCAACCATGAAGAAGGACCCTCTTGAGGAGACTTTCAAAACCATCACTTTACCCTACATTGCGGGGATCACAAAAAAGATCTCCAAAATCTTGAATAAACACAAGATCCAGGTCCAATTCAACACATTACATAAAATCCGTGATCTGGTTCCGTCTGTAAAAGATGTGTTTCCGGACATACAGTACCCTGGCGTCTACAAACTAAGTTGCCTCTGTGGTAGTAGTTACATTGGAGAAACCAAACGACGTCTCGGACCGCATTCGTGAACACAAAGCAGACGTAAAACACAGTAGGACCAACACCTCGGCCCTGGCAGATCACTGTTATAATTCAGTAGGCTCACATGACATTGACTTCTCCAAGACAGAGGTTCTTTGCAAGCCATCTGACTATCATGAAAGATTCGTTCATGAGGCTATCCACATATACAAACACAGAGACAATTTCAACCGAGAAGATGGATTCTGGCTTAGCAATCATTGAAAGGATTTGATAAACCATTTCGGGTCCTAATTGATTGTTCACGCTTACGGTGGCTTTCAGACCGCATCCATTATTTTCGTCTCCCCCCTCCTCTTTTCCGAACATAGATGGACTCGTCCATCTGAATAACTGCCAAATCGCTCTCCGTGGTGCTAACGTTAAAAAAACGCCACTTTTTTCAAATTTTCTTGCTGTGGTTTTCACACCTGATGATTGCTTGTGTTGCAGTCGAAACGTCGTGAGAATTTTATTGTTTTATAGTTTTATTATTTTGTTTCCCTTCTATGTGACTTTACCGAAGGAATCGAGAATATGAATCCCTGCAGTCACGAAATCTTTAAATAAAAACTCGCTGATCTCAAGGGGCATAAACCGATATCACACGAACTCCGCTCATCCTCACAACAGCAGCGGCGGCTTTTGGCCTAGCCATCGAACAGAGACGATGGTCACCGCATCACGCGCTTTCGGATACACTTCTGCAGCCGTCCTGGAATGCTCTTCCTTCCGATATTAGGAAGCCACTTTTAAATCATCTAGATTGAAAGGTCATTTCATTCGAACTGCTTTTTGTGTTTAGTTGTTGTCCTTGCCGCGCACCTCAGATTAGCACGGTTGGCTACGTGGGGCCCTTCTCCAACACAAAGGAGGGTCGCATTGCACTGCGAGCCGTCCGAACGGATTCTTCGTCTCGTGACGCCACGCGACGCTGACAGGAAAATTGGGATCAAAGATTATGGTGGCAAAATAACAACAACAAGAACAGAGCTCCGAGTCATTGTGGTCCATTCGGCGGCGGTGCCAATTCCGTTTGGGGGTGAACCGAGCTGTGAGCTTCCCCCGTCACAGCAGTGCGCGCAGCGCGGCGACTGAGGCAACGTCTGTGGTGTCCGTGCAAGGCACCCGCTTGACTCAACCACACCTTTGCGTGTATGTATGTTGAACTACTTTTACACCGTACGTAGCCAACTGTGCTTCTCCAGCGGGGACGTTTGCCCAAACAATCGGCGAGGCTCACGGGTCCTTTGAAATCGAGGGGAATCGCAAGGACAGGGAGGGGCACGAGGAGCCCGGCGCCAGGGATTTAGTCGACTGGCGCCCCGAGGCAGCGTGGTCAAGGCGCTTCAGTCGTGCCACGTGGCCGGCGGGCGACGTCGTTCGCACGGCGCCACCGTCAGCCTCGCCGCGCGTCTGCGACGGCGCGGCCGCTCGTCGTGACGAGACGGCACGCGGCCCCGGGGGGAGGCCTTCGCCGCGGCTTGCACGCAAAGACGACGCGCGGGAAAGCGCGCGCACACAGAGACATAGACGAGGCGGCGGTAACTGAATTATCTAATAACCTCAATCCACAAACACATATATATGTTTCACCTTGCCTTAGCAGGTGCTCATATTCAAGGCTCATGAAGGCTGCAGCACTGGTTCGGCTACCACTCGCCACTGACGTTAACCGTGGCAGCTGGGAAATGAACTCGGCGAGGAAGGGAGTCAACAACAAGGGAGCAGTGCGGATCAGAGCGATAGCTCCACCGCTGCGTGGCTCCACCGCTGGGTGGCTACAAGCTGGGTAGCTCCGCGGGAGACGCCGTCTGACAGTGGAGGCGCGTGCGGCTCAGCCTGCGTTTTTGATTTTGGCCCCAGTAAGATTCCTCCATGAGACGTTCTAACGAGCGCCGTGAGTTCCTCTCTGGCTGCAGAGCCCAGCAGCACCGCGGCTGCTCGCTTTGACTTTCTCCCCCACTCTCTCTCTCTGTCTCGAGTGCTGCACGTGGCAATGTCCATGGCAGGGGAACTCCGCTGTCCTCGCTCCTTCCCCTCCCCTCCGTGGTGGTGACTGATGGCAGCCAGGCCTCACGCAGGCCATAGACGGCGTTGATCTCGGGAGCGACCTTCTGTGAATACTCAGTGGTGGGGGGTGGGGGGACGGGAAAGCCTTGGCGGGGCAGCTCTCGACCACCAAATTGCAATAATTAGTAAAGCTGGTCGCGCAACGAACGGTTTAACAATCGTCATCGGCCGTGGTCAATGCACTGCTGGATGAAGGCCTCCCCATGCCGCCGCCAACTTCCACACGATTCTGCGATGGAACGATCCATCCGGCACCTGGTGATGCACAAACTGATTCTGCCGCTCCATCTCCTTCACGGTGGAAGCCCTCTCGGGAGCGTTCCGTTCCTTGGCTGCCACTCCGTTGTTATTATTATTATTATACCTGACCATTGGCCATCGTCCCTTGTGACCGCGACACATCCTGTCCTGCCTAAGGCCTACTCGCTTCTCTTTGGAAGAAGTCACCAACCCACGGATATTCTCTAATCCACATGTTCCTCTGCCTCGGCTGAATATCAGCTTGCTGGCAGACCCGTGAGATGGCGCGTGACCAGCAACCACAGTTATAGGGAGAGGGAAACCCATGCGGTGTGCCGGGCATGGAAATATTGTCAGGGTTGTCGAGGCAGACAGACCCAGCTGCAATTGTAGTTAAACAAAGCGATTACCTGCTCATGAGATAATTTGAGGCAATGGTGCTCAACTCCTTTATTACAGCCTTGCAACGCCAGTTGTGAAATTCCACATTCCTATG